GGAAATTGATGAAAACATTGAAGTTGAAATAAACGATAAAGATTTGCGCGTTGACACATATCGTTCGACAGGTGCGGGCGGTCAGCACGTCAATACGACCGATTCAGCCGTTCGCATTACGCATTTACCGACGGGAATTGTCGTAACCTGTCAAAATCAGCGTTCGCAGATTCAGAATCGCGCCGTTGCGATGCAAGTTTTGCGTTCCAAACTTTACGAACTGGAACTCGAAAAACGAAAAGCCGACACCGCTGAACTCGAAGCGAATAAACAAGATATTTCGTTCGGCTCGCAGATTCGCAACTACGTTCTTCATCCGTATCGTTTGGTCAAAGACACACGCACGAAGTTTGAAGTAACGGATGTCGAAGCGGTTTTGGACGGCGATATTGACGATTTTATCAAAGAATTTCTGATGTTTAAGAAAGGTCGTGAATAAGAATATAATTATTCTTTAGAAACTCATGAAATATTGTCCGAAATGTAAAGCAGAGTATGAGGACAACGACATAAACTTTTGTTTGTCTGATGGAACCGCCTTGTTAAAAAGCCGTTCAAATGGAACTACATTGATACGAAAAGGAAAAAATCAAACAGAAGTAAAGCCGAACTCGCGTTATAAAGAGGTAACAGCGTTGGGTTTGGCGGCGATAGCTCTGCTTTTGTTTCTTAGTCTCATTACATATAATCCTTACGATTGGTCGCTAAACACAAGAACTTCAGAGAAAACGCAGAATCTGATCGGCGTTTTCGGCGCAGTCATTTCCGATTTAATGTTTCAGGCAATCGGTTTATCGGCTTATATTTTTCCTGCTCTGATCTTGTTGATTGCGTGGCGGATTTTCCGTTCGGAAAGCTTGATTCCGAGATTCAGCCGCATTTTCGGAATATTTCTTTTCATCATTTCGGTTTCGGCATTGACTAATCTTTTCGACTTTAGCGGCGGAATCGTCGGTGCGGTTTTCGCAAGGTTTTTCAGTTATCTTTTAAGCCCGATTGGTGCGGGCATTTTGCTTTTTACTTTTCTGACTGCTTCGATCCTGCTTTTAACTAACTTTTCCTTCTTCGGATTTTTCGAGAATTTCGACATTGCATCGCAAAATTTTCGTATTCATTTTAACGAATGGAGCGAGAAACGCCGTTTACGGCGTGAAGCACAACTGGCATTAAATCCTGAAAAAACGGAAAAACGAATAGAAAAGCGCGTTGAGAAAAACGGAAAAGACAGCCCGACAATTTCTCTCGGCGACAAAGTCGCTCCCGTTGAAAAAGAATCAGCCAAAAACGGTAAGGGGAAAGTTTCGATTCTCGACAGCTTAAAAACCGAAGAAAACGAAGAAATCAAGTTTGAAATTCCTTTGGAAAATGAAGTCGA